TGCCAGCACAGATCCAGCTGCAGAAGGCCTTGCAACAAAGCTACAAGTGTCTTCACCAGCCTCAAAAAAAAAAAGCCAAATCAAACCTGCAACACCCAGGCTTAGATCACTGCTATCACCTCATAGCTGCACAACAGTGAGACAAGCTTCAGGTAATTCCTTCCCTGCAGAGAGACAGGACTCAGGCTGGTTCCCAGTATCAAAAAATACACACTGACAGCTGGATGGCAGCAGTTATCCTCTGTCATTCAGTGACCTTTCACCAAATGTGGCCATACTAAAACAGGCCTTGGGACTGACCGTATCTGAGCAGGTGCCAGGAGCAGCCCCTCCGAGCCAAAGCTGTGGTAGGCAGCAGGTAGCGTGTGGACTGCATGGGGAACATGCATGCTGTGGGATGGAACGGGCAAACATCCACAACACTACGCGCTCCTGAACTGGTAAGCCCCCTTCCTGAAGAAATACCAAGCTCTTCCCCTTTGTGGGCCTGTGGCAGACTGTAAATACACACATAGGGGTTCAGGTTTATTGCTTACCAGTGGCATCACCATGAGCTTCTACAGCATGTAAGCTAAAACATATGTATTTTCTTTTACTACCATATTAACCTCAGCAGCATGGGAGTACATAGCTCTCCTTTCTATCCAAATTGCCACTTAACTGTTCAGGAACTGTTCAGTGAATGGACTGCCAAGTAAGCAAGTGTCCAGCTTTGCTTAGTTGGGGCATGTAAATGACATTCCTCTTTGTGCAAAGATTTTTTTTTTTATGCTTTATAGAAAAATAAAGTCTCATAGCTGTATAAGCAGACCCACACAGATAGATGAGTGGAGGACCAGCAGCTTTCTTTTGGGACCTAATTTAAGAGGACCCTTTCAAGTCTTTACAGTTACTGTACCTTGTTAGTGTTGTAGCCAGATGGGCAGGGTGTGACCGGGTCATGAAGGGAGCAGTAGAGCACTGTGTCTGGCATACCTGGGAACAGAGCGACAGACACAGAGTAGAGTTTCACAAACTAAACCAAAGCTAATCCAAAAATGTGGTTTGTAAATCTGCAGAAGGGAACAAGGTATTCTCCCACACACAATTACACCCATTCTGATGAAGAAAATATTGTTCATTTGATCTCTCAGCACCAAAGGCAGCAGACTTTTTCTCCAGCTTTACCAGCTGCAGGGAGAAGAGTGCAGCATCAGGACAAACCATCAAATAACATCCTTTGGTTCTGCAGCCAACACGGCTCCTTTTGAGATTTATGTATGTTTCTTCTTGTTTAACTCCTGCTACTAAAATTTGCCAGACCCAATGGTTGGCTCATTTGACCACTCAGCTGATACACTGGACACATCTGACATTTGACACAATCTAAACTGAGAACTTCTAAGGAAGGACAACATACAGTGAGTGAACAGATTAGCTACACAAATGAGAAATTTATCATCCCTACCAGATCAGTTTCAGTATCAGAAAGCTAAGACAGTGTGTCTCAATGACATACAATTTTCTCTTCACAGATAGTCACTGAAATCAGTGAAGCCTCCAAGAACTTTTAGATAAAGAGATTTTCACTTTTTCTTGAAGGAATAAGCAGCTGAAGTTTACTGAAAGTTGGTTGCAAACTTTCTTTGGAAATCCAAGCCATAACTTTGCTTATGTAATGAAATGCATGTCCAAAATTTTGATGTAGTTGTTTGGGTTTTTTAAAAAGAAAAACCCTTGGTCTCTGTAATACAAAAATGCTTAAACATTTAAAAAATTATAATAATTTACATTTTATACATTCATAATGTATGTGCAACTAACACATACAAAACATTCATAAAAATATGTCAGCTTTTATTAAAGTGTTAGCAACTCAAAAGTTTTTTTCTTGCAAAGCCCGCTAGATTCCATATACAAAGAAGTGTCTGTAAATTATAGAAGTTAAAGACACACCATCACTTCAACAGGATTTACCCTATAACCAGTGTAGCCTGAGACACGCAGACAAAGCATCCCAGAGAAGCTTGTTGACTTGGCTGATCATCCTCCAGTTCAGCCTACGATACAGATATTCACACAATATGCTAACCCTGCATTCACTGTGCATTCAGATTCCTTTGCCACACGAGCCTGACAACAGTGATCTTGGCTGCATAATGCATGCAGCCAGGCCTTCACTGATCTGTTGCAACAACCAGAGGAAAAACACAGGACAGTCACAAATGTTTTACTCATTCTTATCACCAAGGAGTTAAGGCAAAGATTTCACTCTGGATCTGCTCCAAGAATGGAGTACAGGGACTGATGAGGATCACAAAGGCTTGGTGCAGTAGCTGAGGGCTATGGCAATGTTGACTGTTTTGCATTTGACTACCCATAAGTAAAACTGTTTATTCCTAAAACTGACTCTAACATGGAAAAATGGAAGGAGAATAAAGGGAGCAAGAACAGTCCGACAGCTAAACTGACAGGAACAAAGAACAGGGTAAAAATGAGCTTCTCTGCCTGCTGCTTTAGTTCCTCAAAACTTCTGCAAATCCGACATGTTAGGGTCCTTCCCCTAACATCTTCTCAGAACAGGAATAGCTCAGAGGCATAAGTGTCCACCAGCTGAGACTGATTTGATGTGGGGTGCTTTGCCTGTTTATTCTTCATACTGGATGAAGATTTCCTGTTGGAAATCTTTAGATGAAACCATCTATTTTATGAGAATCAAAAAAGCCAGCTTGAGCAGATAGATACCCTCAGGAAATGTATTTGAACATCTGTATGGGGAAGGCCATTTTCATGAGAATTTCTAATTCTCCTCATCAAAAGAAATCAGAAATCACATCTGGCAAGATTCATCTGCAGCAGTGACTGGGGGCTACAGTAAAACCTCTCTCAGTTCTAGTCTCAACTTCTGGGCTAAGCCCATCCCAGACAGTGCTGAAGCCCCCAGTGAGAAGGCTGCATGCAGAAAAAGAGAAACAAAACAAAGCTACATAATTCTGTAGCCTGTTTGAGGGATTTCTGGCCACACTAGCGACAACATACTATTTCAAGTCTTCCTTAGTACCACTTTCAGTGAGAAAATGTCTAAACGTGGAAAGCCTATGCCTACATCTTTCTGCCTACAGTACTGCCTAAAAATGCACCAGTGGGATCCACCTGCATTCTCTCTCCAGACATACAAGCAAACAGACATGCTTTACCTATAAATTTTGCAGCTCCTTCTTTATATTCTTCCAGGACCTCATGAAGTTCTGCCCTGCATCCAGATACAGAAACACATTAACTAAGCAAACAACTGTCAAGAAAGACTGGTGATTTCATAACTAAAGCTTTTGTTTCCATACTTATGCATTGTCTGAACAGGGATTGGGTTAGGCACTGATAGCTACCATCTGGCTACCAGGCAGCAAAGCAGGGACAGACAGAACTAAATGCCAAAGACACAGAGATCAAGAATCTCAGCTTACAAACTGGGGCACTCATAATTATTCTGTGGCAAAAAGGCAGAGCTTTTACCCGCACTGACTAGTGACCACTGGCTTGCTGGAGAGCATAAAGTCACAGTGGGGCTTTCTGGGTAGCATCACTCAACAACTACACAAGCTAGGGAGGGGAGAGCTTCTGATGAGCTTGATGATGTCAAACTTCCCTTTCGGCTGCCACTTACCTAACTAGTTTTGAGATTTGGCTGCTTCTAAAGCTGGGAAGATGCCTGTTAAGTCGCCAAGAGTGGTTTGGCCAAAACACGCTCAATAATTATGCAGCCCTCTAAGTCCCTTACCTTCACCTGCTTCCTACTAAGTCGCTGCAACCTCCCTTCGATGGGGCAGCAACAGAGGGACAACCAAATTCGACATTTTGCCTTGCACCCGGGGAAGTGAGAAGGCCACCTGCCCCCCAAGCAGCGTTGCTGGGACTCGCTGGCGCCCCGCAGACCTTACCCCCCCCCAACCTCCCACCCCAGTACTCACACGGTGGGCAGGGTGAGCTGGGCCAC